ATCAAAGGAGAAATCGAGAGATTATTGAAAGCGAAGTTCATCAGAACTTCAAGATATCCCGAGTGGATCTCGAATATATGAAGAAAAACGGGAAACTCAGAGTATGCATTGATTTTCGAGATCTTAACATGACAACTCCCAAAGATAAGTATCCTATGCCCATAGCTGAAACTATGATAGACGCCGCTGCAGGTAATGAAATTATGACTTTGCTCGATGGTTATTCTGGATATAACCAAATTTATATTGCAGCTAATGATGTATCGAAAACTGCTTTTCGATGTCCAGGTGCTCTAGGTGTTTATGAATGGGTGATGATGCCGTTTGGATTAAAAAACGCAGGTGCTACTTATCAGAGGGCAATGAATTTGATATTCCATGATTTAATTGGTAAGTTCGTACAAGTATATATCGATGATATAATTGTTGGGTCAAAGCAAAAAGAGGACCACCTAAACCATTTAAAATTATCTTTTGAGAGAATGAGAAAACATGGTTTGAAAATGAATCCTCTAAAATGTGCTTTTGGTGTTACAGCAGGAGAATTTTTGGGGTTTGTCATACACCAGAAAGGAATTGAAGTTAATCGAAATAAGACTAAAGCTATCATGGAGACTAAACCTCCATCGAACAAGAAGGAACTTCAATCTCTCTTAGGTAAAGTAAATTTTTTGAGAAGATTTATCTCGAATTTGTCTGGTAAAACTAAAGTGTTCTCTCCTCTGTTACGTTTAAAAAAGGAGCAAGAATTTTGATGGAATGAAGAGCACCAGAAAGCGTTCTAGATGCATTATTTAACACCAACACGTGCAGTAGAACGGGTCGTTCTGAGACTAGAACGGGCCGTTCTAGCTTCAAAACGGACTGTTCTAGATTCAGAATGGGCTGTTCCAGAACGCCAACCAATATAGTGCTAGTACACCAGTGTGGTTCAAAAATCGAAAGCAAACCATTTATACATACACAATTTTTTTTATCTAAAAAATAATATATTTTAAAAAATAAAAATTATAATATATATATATATATATATTTAAATTATCGTATGTATAAAATATAAATTTCGAGGAGTTATTCATTTATTTGATATTTTTCAAACTTTTGTACTTTCTATTTATTGTTTATGTTGATAAAAAAAATTAAAATTGTAAAAAGGCTTAAATATGTTTTTAGTCCCTCAAATTTAAGATAAATTTGTTTTTGGTCCCTCAAATTTAAAACTGTTGTTTGTAGTCCTTGTAATTTTCAAAAATCTTGTTTTAGTCCCTTAGGTCACCAATAATATATTTGAAAGTGACTAATTAAGACAGTTATGCAATATCAACCGGATTTAATGTGATATTTTCACTAATAGGGACACCAATAGGTAAATTTTATGCAATAATGTTTGATAAAATTTTTAACAAAATTTGAATATAAGGACTAAGTTAAGATTTTTTGAAATTACATGGACTAAAAATAACAATTTTAAATTTGAGGGACCAAAAATAGATTTACCCTAAATTTGAGGGACTAAAAACATATTTAAACCTTGTAAAAATTTATATCACATATTAAAAACATCTTTATATGATAAATAAATTAAACTTAATTTTTATAAGATTTAACATATTTATTTATATGTTTTTATTAGTGTTAAATTATTATTAATTAGGTTTTTGAGATTGTTATGTAACCAAACATTTTAAAAAATGTTTATGACAGATAAATATATAATATTTATAACATGTATTTTTAACAAAAATTAGGTTTAAATATGTTAAATTATAATATAACATAATCTGACCTAGTTTATTTTCATCCTTAATTATAATTATAGATATAAAAACTTGCAAAAGATAAGTATATTATATATTTATACTTTAAAAAATTATATATAAAATTTTTAATATTACAAATATATGAATAAGTATTGTCATCACGATAAAAAATTTATGGATATAATCATTAACTGCACGTGTGACATTCTGGAACCAGAACGACCCGTTCTGGTTTTACTTTTGGTGTGTTAATTTTGCATCCGAAACGGCATTCTAGTTTCAGAACGGGTTGTTCTAGTTCCAGATGCATGACAAAAATTTGACATCCACGTGACATCTACATAGCTTCCACGTGGCATCCACGTAGCATCCACGTGGCCAACAGTTAACTCCGTCTAAATAATTTAGACAGAAGTCTGACATTGCAACCAATTAATTTATTAGAGATCAAATTGAGACAAAAAATAAAAGTGGGACTAAATTGAAACAAACAATTATTATAAGCGACAAAAATAGGTTTTTAGCCTAAATAATATAATTCAGTGTTATTCTTGAAAATATAAGAAAATGTGTTCGGTTCATATTAATATTCTTAGGAATATTTTCTAAAATTTAAAATAATTTAAATAAAATTAAAAGTTACAAAAGTTAAAGAAAATAACATTTAATATTCCTACAAGAATAACACAGACTCACCTTTAATAGGACTTTTTACTCGTGGAAAAAAATTGAGTTTGGTTGTCGAATTTATATGCATGGAGGTGTGAAAACTTTTATGTGTATTCGAATAGCATATTACAGTATTCAATTGTCAATTCTTGTATTTGAATGCTTAAAATGCTTATTCAATTGTGGCTACATATTATGCAAATGCCAAAGTTTGTATTCGAAAGCTCTTTGGCTTTATTAGAATAACAAAGTTTTCATTAGATTGCAATATATGTTGTAATCGATTACAACAAAATTTCATTTGATTACAACTGGGCATTCATTCGAATACATATCCCACAATCATGTACGTCCAAAAATGTAATCGACTAGGTTGTGCCAAAATCGATAACATTTTGGATTAATCTTTTTAAAAAAGATTAGTTCATAATATAATGTATCTATTATTGATGTAAATAAAAATTAAAATAATAAATGTTATGGCAATCATATTATTGAAATGTAGTTAATTAATTGATAATTAAGTACATGGAAATTGTGTAATTTACAAATTTTATATTTTGTGGTATTACTTAAAAATTGATTATTCAAGACATAGAAATTATGTAATTTACAAAATTTATATTTTTTGATGGTAGTTAAAAATTGATAATACAAGACTCAATATGAGATGAGGTATTTTTGCCTTATTTTGTAGGTTAATATTGATGTCGTTGATAATTTTTTATTTTAATTTTTAAACTATTATTTTGTGAATAGAGAGAAGTAATGATTTAAAAAATGTTGATCAACACAATTGAGGAAAGACTCACTTACTCTAATAGTAAGTCTAGCTAAACTTATTTCACTTAATAACTCATGTTTTATATCAAAATTTAACAATTTAATTATTGAATAAAAAGTTTTTAATATATAGATTAAATTTGTAAAGTTAAAAAAAATTTATTTGATGTTTTGTTTAATTAATTCAAATCAATGTGTAAAATACTTTTATGATTAACCATCAATTTGAAGTAATAAAACTAAATATCAAATAGTTTTTAAAATTTTTAAGACTTTGCATACTTAATTCATGCATTAAGAATTTTTATTTTAATAGTTTAATTATTAAAATTTAATATAAAACATGAGTTATTGAATAAGTTTTAAGTAAATTTACTTTTAAAATAAGTGAATTCTTTCTCATATTAAAGATATTCTTATAATTTAAAAATATCACGAGATTGAATTTTCAAGAAAAACTTTTGTCATCAAAATCTTATATATTATATTTTTATTATTTATTTTTTTTCTTCCCTATTTCTAATAAAATGATGAGATGTGGTTGAAAAAATTAATTATTTATTCAAAATTATTAGACTAAATTTCACTTCTAGTTCCTTTATAATATTAAATTCATAATTTTGGTATTTAATTTTTATTTTCATAATTTTAGTCCACCAATTTTATAAAAACTGTAATATTATTTTCCTAATTCAATGTTTATCTTTTATCACTAAAATTGTAACATTTATTATGATTTAACATTAAATGAATGACATTATAATTAATATTTAATAATATTTAACCTGTATATCATTTTTAATTCTCATTTTTCTCATAAAAATAGTGGAATAAGAATTAAAAGTATAATTTTTTTTATATTTTTTTTCAGAGGAAGTGTAATCTTACTTAAATATTAATTATAGTATCATTTATCTTACGTTAGATAACAATAAATATTATAATGTTTAAGTGGACTAAAATTACAAAAAATTTTATAAATAAAATAAAAATGAGACAGAGGGAAGATGTTATGCCAATTGTGTCGTGGCTGGCCGCCGTAAGCGAGTCGCGAGTTTTGGGAATCCTAGAGCACTCATTTCACAACATGCCTTTGTTTTCTAAGTTTCTATTTCTAATTTATGAGCGTGTTTAACGTTGTATTGCAGCTTTCACGTTAAACGTGATTTTTCACGTTTTGGACGTGAATACAAACACGTACTAAGGTAAAAAAGGGAATGTCTCCTATATTATTTACTAGTAACAGCACATGCAAGTCATTAGCATAACATAAAAAATAGTAAAACAAAAATTAGAAATAATAATATAAACTAAACATTCAAAATAAAATTACTAATTATATAAAAATTAAACATAACAAAAGAGAATTAAACATACAAGTCATTAAGGAAATATACAAGTCATTAGATTACTAATTAAATATACAAATCACTAACATAACATAAAAGGTCTCGAGTTGTGATCTATTTTGTCAAATCTAATTATATATAAAAAATAAAAAAAATATTTTAAATATAGTCTTAAAAATAAAAATAGAAGTAATAATAATAAACTAAACATACAAAAGAGAATTACTAATTACTAATAAATAAATTTTAAAAAAATAAAGCTCTGATTTATTTGTCTATTATCTATATTATACTAATTGAACCACTAATCAAACCGAAACTGTATAATACTAATTGATCCATGCATGCATTGAATGTTGATAAAATGACATGTAAATTAGAACAAGGAGAGTGTAAAGTAGAAATAAGTAAACCTTAACCAACTCAAATTCAAAGGCTGCCTCTGCAAAGTGCAAATCCCGTAATATAAAACGAAAAAGGCAGAACTGCACAAGCATCCTGCTCCTGCATTGGCTACTGTCAGATCAGAACAAAAACAAGAACATGGGCACCGTCCTCATCACAGCTCCAAAACCACCACCCTTACCCTTCTCCCTCTTCCCCTGAACCCTCTCTCCCCTCTCCCCTCTCCCAACCCCAATGGCCGCCGCATTGGAGTGCTGGTCGCGCCGCACCGCCGCCGACGAGGACCGCGCGATCCTCGTGCAGCCGCCGCCGCAAGACCCTCCACCCCGAGACTCCTCCATCGTCCACAGGAAGCTCCAGAGGCTCACGCGCAACGTCTCCGAGGCCATTGCGTCCCTCAGAAACTCCCTCAACACCAACGACTCCTCCAAGCAACACAACCTCCTCCGCAACCTCACGCACCTCTGCTCCGCCACGCACCTCCCCGAGAGGCTCGTCTGCAACATCCGCAAGCACTACGATTCTCTGCCTCTCAGGTTCCGATCCCAACTAATCTCAAGCATGTCAATGTGGGATGGATGGGATCATTTTTTATTTGTTCACTCACTGTGCTTTAAAAACGATGATTTTGATCTTGGGGTGTTTTCTTCGTCTTTGTAGAGCTTAGGATGGTAAGGTGAGAGGTGGATTTACTGGTTATTATAAATATGGGACCAAAATCTTTTTTTTTTTTTTTTTTGAAGTGCTGGGACAAGACTGGTTTTTTGACTGGAAATTAAGGAGCCTACTGTTGCAACATATTTTACCATTTTCTTTTTGTGTTTGGGGGATGGGTTTTGTTTCTTTTGGTGTTTGAAGTTTTAAAGTTTTTAACTTGGGTGGTGATCCAATCTGAATGGGACAGACCAGTTTTGACTGAAAATTAAGGAACCTACAGCACATTTTACCAAAAAAAAAAATTTGTGTGTTTGGGAAATGGGTTTTGCTTCTTTTGATGTTTGAAGTTTTAAAGTTTTTAAATTGGGTGGTGATCCAATCTGAATGCGAGTGTTGGTGTTAATCTGGTTGTGTTTGAGGTTACTTGAGTGATGGGTTCTTTGTTTTGAATTTTTGTTTTCACTTTGGGAAATGGGTTTTGCTTCCTCCAATGTTAGAAGTTTTGTTCCGATTTGAATGTGAATTCGGAGGAATTATTGTATGCTTAATCTTCGGGTGATATGTAACTGGGTTTTTTAGAACTTCGATATGTCATGAGGATTGACCCGAGTCATGGACATGTGGTGGTTTTGGACTACACAATATTTTTCGTGAATGTGAATGTGGAGATTTAGTTGCACTGTTTCGGTTGTGTTTGAAGATCACTTCAGTGGTGGATTCTGCTTTTTATTTTTTATTTTTTATTTTTTGAAATTGTAGTGATTTTGTAGTTTATTTATTTGTTTCTTTTTTGGCAGTTACTCTCAGGCGGGGTTTGACGTGAAAGATGTGTTTCTTCACATGAAGTTGATGGAGCAAGCTTTGGAGGATGAGCAGGCTGCGATTTTGATTCAAGAGGAGTGCGATGATGAGATTCAGTTTCAGGGGTCTTTGTTCAAGTTGACATTTGCCTGCAACTCTTCAATTTCATGGCCTGCGATGTCGGGTGCGTTGGATAGTTACTCCATTTGCTGCAAGAAGATTCAGATCTTTGAGAAGAAAGGTTTCACCCTTGGGATTGTGTTGCTTCTTGTGCTGTCTGGTGGTGGGCAAGATAAGTTGCTCAGGACCCGGGTTGAAAGTGCTATTAAGATAGCCGTAAAGAAGCCCAAAGCTGGTGGCGTGAAGCTTCCCTTTGGGCTTTGTGGGTGTCAAGAGGAGAACTCCAAGGGGAGAGGGCTTGGAGAGATCGAGGAAGACGATGGCGATGCGATATGTGGAAATGGGTTTGAGAATTTCAGCCAAAAGATTCAGCTTCAGTTGCCATTGCCTAGTTCATCGTTTCTTGTGTTGGTAGATGAATGGCAGACTATTCAGTCAGGTGGGAATGAGATTGAAAAATGGTTATTAAACTCAGATAGTCTCGAGTTTGTGGAGCAAATTGGGCCCAATTCGTACAAGGGGACCTACATGGGGAAAAAGGTTGGCATTGAGAAGCTTAGAGGGTGTGAAAAGGGAAATGCTTATGAGTTTGAGCTCAGGAAAGATCTGCTGGCTCTGATGACATGTGGCCATAGAAATATTATGCAGTTTTGTGGTGTTTGTGTAGATGACAACCATGGGTTATGTGTGGTGACAAAATTTGTTGAAGGTGGTTCTGTTCATGAGTTAATGTTAAAGAACAAGAAGTTTCCGAGTAAGGATGTTGTAAGAATTGCGGTTGATGTGGCCGAGGGGATGAAGTTTATGAATGATCATGGTGTCGCATACAGAGACCTTAACACGCAGAGGATTCTGTTGGATAAGCACGGGAATGCTTGCTTGGGTGATATGGGTATTGTCACTGCCTGCAAGAGTGTTGGAGAGGCAATGGATTATGAAACCGATGGTTATCGGTGGCTAGCTCCAGAGGTTTGTTCCTAATCACACTCTTTTCAAGTTAGCAAATTATGAAAAAAATGTGTCTGGCCATTAGGCTACATAGTCTTTTTTAATTCTGTATTGCATCTCTCCCTAAATCTCTCCTATACTATTCTTTCATCTTAAATTTGTTTTTAGCATCTCAAATTTAGGATAAATTTGTTTTTGATATTTTTTAATTGAAAATTAAACTTTTTAGTTTTTGTAATTTTAAGAAATCTTGTTTTAATCTCTCAGACAATCATTTGCTTACTAATGAGTAGATTGAGACAGTTATACAGTATCAACCGAGTGTAATGCAATATTTTTATTAACAAAAATATTAGTAAGTAAATTTTATGTGACAGTATTTGACATATTCATTAACGACATTTGAATGGAGGGACCAAAAACAAATATTTAAGCCTATTCTTTCAAAATAAAATTAAAATTAAAGAGCTTATTCTATTACATATACTTCAAATCAAAATCTGCATCACACACACCTGGGAAATATATAATAGATGGGGTTTGAAAATGTGTTTTAGGCTTTTTAGCTGCTACTCTAGATCATGTTTTAACATTTAATGATAAAGGCTAGCTAACCATAATACAACTTGCCATATGTTCAACGGCTGTGCAACTGAGTAACATTTTGTTAGCTTTATTGCCTGGAGGATGTTGTTTAGATTCATTGTACGTAAGATGCAATGCTGAACTATCCTACATTAAAAATAATCTTTGTCACTTGTCTAGACATCATTGTTTGAGCGTGCCTAACATGTCTTAATAATTGTTTCGTGCTTTTCCTTTATATAATTGTGTAGGCTTTTGTTCACACACTACTGTATATCATTAGACAAATCAGCGTTGCACTGTGTAATGCCAATTATACCTGAATTGATTTCAAATGGAGCCCTCACACCCCAAACCTTAAGCACGATCTGTCCCCGTATTGTACTTATTTTTGTCCAGTCGATAAGACTACTTAGAACCTTTCAAACCTTGTATTCAGACAGAAAATAATGAATGAAAATTATTAAGTAAAACCTTGTATTCTTTTTATGAATGTGAGATAGCTCATGGATATTTTGTGCCATTGAAAACAGATTATTGCTGGTGATCCTGAGAGTGTGACAGAGACATGGATGAGTAATGTTTATAGTTTTGGCATGGTAATTTGGGAGATAATAACTGGTGAGGCCGCATATTCTGCATATTCACCAGTGCAAGCTGCAGTAGGCATTGCTGCTTGTGGCCTAAGGCCTGAAATCCCCAAGGACTGCCCTCAAACTCTAAAGTCTCTCATGACAAAGTGCTGGAACAACACCCCTTCAAAACGCCCTCAATTCTCTGAAATTTTGGCCATATTGCTGCGACCAAACAACTTCAATAGGTAAACTTATGTTGTGTTGATAGTAATTTGATACCAAACATTCCCATTCTCAAGGGAGCTTCATACGTAAACAATCATGAGTCCTCCATGCTTTTATAATTGTAATGAAAGGTGTAAAGTTTTGCTTTTCCTTTTCTTTTTGACAATTATGTACCATCTCTTTGTGATGCCTTTGATGGCAACCTGAATCATGGAAATATCACAATACGTTTCACATTGTTGGGTTATGAGTGGCACTTACGTTACATGATGAAAACTAGGATTATTCTCTAAGGGTCCCATTTTAGGGGCCTACTTTACTTGTAGGCTACTAGGATGTTTTGCTCGTTTCATGGCTATCATAAGGGTCCCATTTGATGTTGTGTTTCTCTAGTTTCATTTAGTTTTGAAGTGTTACATTTTCTTCTAAATAATCTTTAAGCCATCGAAATTATATTACTCCCTAAAACATTAGAAATTATGTTGCATAGTCTCTTTAAGTATTGAAAAGTTTTTCAAATCAGTTTCTCAATTTTTTTTAATAATTATTTTATTGGAATATTCACTAATTTTATCGATTACTAATTTTTATTAAGAAACTTGATTAATTATCATCCGTAGAGTTTTTTTAATCATATTTTTATTTTTTTATAGAACTCAAATTCAGAATATATTAGTATAATATATTAATACAGAAATTAAATTGATGAATATATAATACTTTGAAGAATTTTCTATATAATTTCATTAGTTTAAAAATTATTTAAGAGAGAGAGTGTGTGTGTATGTGTGTGATACTTTGAAGATTAAATGGATGATTTATTCGTTTTGAAACTGTCGAAGACCCTGTCCCCATTTTTTCCTTATTATCCCCAACCTTTTCATCTTTCATGGATCAGATCGATGTAACCTGTGGTGGGCACATAGGATTTCACGTTTATCTACTTGCATGACAATGAGTGAGCCTATTGGGAAGTTGTGTTAGAACGGTGTAATGCAACAACCACACATATTTCTCGTATTGAACTATTTATATATAGTCAAGTCATATCTAGATGGAGGAACTATATATATTTATATCGCATTTATTTGGATTTACATATAATAATAGAGACAACCTTTTTCATGGAAAGTGGTGATCACATCAAGGGCCTTTGATAATTTCATCAGAACTCATTCTTGATAGATGAGATATTAGGTCGCCAAAATTAACCGAACTTGCTTGTTGGAAAATGATGTTATACCTAGAATTGATCTTGAGACTTCAATTTTAATGGAATTCATCAATAATTCATATATACAAAAAAAGTATACATAAATCATAAAAGTGCACGTTGTATTATTATGTGATAATGAACTTACACCTAAAGTGCATTTAGAACTATTTATACCAAAGCTATTTGAACTTGTGACATGTTATAAGCTTATGAAAATATTTTTTACAACTTATTCAGTAAATTTAGTTAAATAATTTGTCGTGCGATATAGCTATTAAATCTATACTACTATTTAATTGAGTTAATTACTCAAAATCTTCCTCACTTCAACCAAAGCATCATGTCATGTGCTTCTTCATGGTATTTTCCCAACCCTTTCAACTTTTCTGGAGGCTGCACATGTTGCATGTGAATGTGAAACTCGTGTCAGGAATACAACACTTTATTCCTTTTTTTTATCACTCGTATTTTACCACTAACAATACGGTTGCATGTAAGAATATATTAATAATATCAACCTTTTAGAATAGTATTTGTGCAGTATAACATATCAGTGTGGTATAGTAAGTAGATAGTCATTGCACGAAAATTGAAATTTATTTTTTTCAACTGTTTGAATTTTTGTAAAATTCGTCATGAATCAAACTCTGCTGTACTGTCCTGTTGGTCACGCATAAAATTGAATTAAAAACTTGATTAATAAAATACAATTATGCATTCTCCTATTTCTGACACATGTCATGTGGTTCAACGTAATCTCGCATTTTTCTAGTACACACAAAAGCATTTGCTTGAAATGGTCCCACAGAGTTAAAAAAAATTAAAATTCAGTTTGAATCAGATCTGAAGGGAAGTCATGTGTGAAGCCCTGACTAATACTAGCCATCACAATTTGACAAGTACAACACCCTTATCAACTTTGACTGTTTTTTTTTATATATTTTTTTTAAGTGTAGAATTAAAATTGATTTTGGATTGGATGTTGACAACTCAAATTGCAAGACAATTACTTACTAATAGTCACAGCCAATTAACAATGTTACCATGTTTTGTTTCCCATAATGTGTTTATTAAAAATCACAAACTTCAATAATTTTTTTTACTAGTAATGTTTAAAATTTATTTCATGCAATAAATAATAAAGACTTGGTATTATGTTATGATTAAAAAAATGCATAAATTGTTTATAATGATTATACCCACTTAATTAAATTTTTCGATATTCAAGCGTGACATTACTTGTTGAGAGTTAATTAAATTTGGAAAGAAAAAGTAGAAGAAGAAAAACAATAGCATATGATAAAAGCAACTGTAGAGCTACGAATAAGAGCAACAAAATCTTAATTATTATGATTCATTCTTTAAATCTTTTCCCCTTTTTTGATAACAAATATCAAGTGTACGTTTTGTCTGCTGGGTCTTATGCTTAGAAAAGTATATGCAGTGGACATTTCTCAAACTGCGACGTGTTTGACACACCTTTTAATATTGATTTTCATTTGCAAAAAAAAATATTTTAGAAAGTTGTAAGAAAATATTTTACTAAACGTGCACTTGATGTTATGTTGCAAACAACACCTTACTGTGTTTTTGGATAAGAATTAACAAAATTAATTTTAAAATGTGATTTATATTTACATGTTTTATTATAAACACAAGTTAATAAAACTAATTATCTAATATAAAAATTATTTAAAATTGTTTCAATTTGTAATCATTTGACATCACTTTGACAAGAATCCTTCAATCCTACAACAAACACCATATAACATCATCTAGATAAACATAGTCCTTTGTCATATTATCATGTTTCACCATGTACATTATTTGTATATTTCTCATAAAATAAAGGATTATTAAATTGAATTATAGATCGGAAACCTTATGATATACAAGGTTATTATAAGAGACAAGTGTAAAGCATAATTGTATCTATATAGAGAATTAATAATATGGATGATATTTTGGGATTTTAAAGATAATAAAATGATTAAAAAAACTTAATTTTGAAAAAAATATTTATTTCATTCAATCAAGTATATCCTAAACTACAATACAATATAATAAGAGATTTACTAACAACAAATTCCATTACAAAATATTTATCTAACTTTATTTTATAATATCCTATCACAATTAACAAAGTCTTATCATAAATATAACTACAAATTCTCAATGATGACATTCTCCTAATTTATTTATGACATCATATCCATATAACCTTATTTATGACAATTTATAATGATATCATAAAAATCTCAACCTAATTTTATTTACACATGATAGTAACATCTTTTAACATTTAAGATTTTCATGGCGTGTTTAATCCAAGTTGGTTTTTGTAGATTGAATAACTTTGTGAAATGTAAGGCAAATTGAAGCTTCCGTTTTGAAAGCTGCAAACATTGAATATCTTGTAAAATGCATTCATATTATTGAGAGATGGTGACTTATGAAGCAGACGTATTCAAGTAACTCCATTTCACATAATAGAGAGACCAATTAACTTTCTCCAAAGCAACTTGCGTCCGAGGCTCCCAACTTTGATCGCAAAAATATCGACATGAAGATATTATAGCATATTTTAATTATATATTGTACATATGAAAATATCATTTTGAGGTGACCAAATTGAGTTTAAATTATAAAGACTAAAGTACACTCTTCTCTATCAAAATATTTGTTCATCTTTTAAAATCTTGGAATTCATAATAAGGTTCCTCGTGGTCGGTAATGTTTAGAGTTATAAAAAAAATGATTATAAGAGATTTTTTTACATTCAAATATATTAAATTGTATGTTATCAATATGTATTCAGAAAATTATAATTAAATTGTTTAAATCAAAGTCAAATCATAATTTTGAGTAAAAGTTAAATGAAAAGCTTTTTCGTTGAATCAAATTATGATTTGTTATTTTGTTTTTAATTTTTTCAGTAGTTTTAATCTGTTATAAACTAATTTTAGGAACCCAGGTATATAAAAACTATAGAATATCAAGGTTTTAATTGTTATTTTTTAGTTTTGGAATTTAATTAAATTTTTTAAAAGATTACTGATATATTAATATTAAATAGTAAATAATCACTTTGGTTTTTGAATTTGGAAGGTGAAATGATATTAATTTTCGAATAGAAATTGTTCTTACCTACTGTAGAGCTGATCCGCCAGGTAAGATCGGTGAGCCTCCTTCACTGGTACGCTGGTGCTCCAAGATGGGGGTGGTACCTGCAAAAGAGACTCCGATGTTAAAGTTAGTGTTTGTGGGTGTATGAGTCTCGTATAAGTAATGCACGTACCTTTGTGTGTATTAGGGTTTTGTTTGGCCTTGGGCTCGAGATCAGTTATGATCTGATTAGGATGACGAGCTGACGTCACACAGCGCGTGTTCGAGGTCATCCTGCGCTGTGGTGCCGAGTTCGGAGCTCGGCTTCGCAGTACGGATAGTACACTAGCTCCCCGAGCTCCGAAGATCGTAGGTCGCGGAGTTAAGACCGAGCTCGTCAGCCAGTAGTGACCTTTCGCGTATGCTTGCCAGTCAAGATGCCATGTGTTGCAACTGTCGCCTCGTTCTCGAGAACGTGCAGGCGGCGTGGTAACAAGATTTTATTTTTATTCCACATGGAAACATGCAAAGGTAAGCTAGATAAAATAAACAACTCATGATAATAATCATCATATTCAACACAACAACAAGAAACACATGTATTACATACCTCTCAACAACACGTATATAAGAAAACAACTTACAACACTAGCAACTTAACATCATTATCATCATCAAATAATTCAACACACAACACATGCAACTTAGCATTACCTAAAATTTCATGTTTTAATATTTTTGAGATGTGAATATATCTTGCTAAATTTACGCAACTTGGTTTATCATTCATTGCCAATTTATTAACTAAATATAATTTTTTTTATCTACACAAAAGCATCGGAATGAAACCTAGGTGCTAGTGTTTGATTTGGAAGGTGGAACTATTGAAAATCAAGGAAAGCAGTAAGGTTAGACTTCCTCTCCGAAGCAATTTATTTTTTTTTTCTTCTTCTTCTTCACTTACCCGGGAGCTCAAAATCGGAATATTTCTCCCTCCAAGGTAAAGGAAGCTAGAATTTGTTGATTTTGGGACAAAATGTTGTATTGTTGCAGCAAATTGTTGGTTGCATGTTGATTAAATTGGAGTTTGTGGAATTAGAAAGAAAGGTTTTGAGTTGTTTGAAGAATGTGATGGATTGGGTCGAATTTCTTGTTGCATGTGGGGTTTGTGATGTTTTCTATGTTGCATGTTAATGGTAAGACTGTCTTCTTGCAAGTGTAGGTGTTGGGTCCCTTCGGGTTGTAAGTTTTGATGGGTTTTGGGTGAAAATGTTGAATAAAATATGGCGGACGCAACTATGAGCAACCTGAAACACTGAACAAACACGTTATTAAAATTCCCCTGAGACATGTGATGACACTGACCTTAAGGACTTATCTGCAGGATACGCGCAAGCCTCCCAGGATACAACGGGATCGTCTCAAACTGGCAATTAAAAATTTTGAGAACTCAGAAAACAATGTGCCGGAGGCCTCTATTTATAGAGTCTCATAAACCCTAAAAACTATGTAAAGCATCCGGCAATTAAGGAAAATTAATCCGATTTTGTAACGGTAAGATTCGATTCGATTTTAAAGACAGAATCAAATTTGACTTTGAAATGTGAAAAACTGTCATTTTCAAATCTCATTTTCACACACGCAAGGGGGAAAATCAACATATTTGAACTACAATAGGCTCACAAGGCCCATTCTTACATGCGCGAGCCCACCACCCATTGCTTGCCTCTTTGGGAGTGTAAGGAGCACTTTGATATATAAAAGCTCTACACTTGAGTGGTTCAAGCAATGTGGGACTATTTTCTTTTGAAATATCATATATGTGCAACCAAAAATATGTGGGAAGCCATGGGAGGGCATAAAGTTTAATCTGGAGCGCTGAATTACTGGGACTAGATGACCGAATTTGGTCTCAGAATCTTCATGAAAGTTTTATCCTTAGATGTTAGCTTTCCAATGGCACCAAAATCACCCAAAAAGGAGGTATGGAATTCCATATATGGTTGTTTTAGTGAACAGGGGTCAAGCTTTCAGCATTGGTTATAGTTGTTGCGGTGTTTAAAATGTTTAACAAAGTAAATGATAGAATTTAGACTATATGTCTTCATAAAAGTTGTAGGAAATCTTCTTATATTTCATATGAGATGAGGATGAGCATTCCAGGAGTAGTATAACTCCAAATATGGTTGTTTTAGTGAAAAGGGGTCAAGCTGTCAGCATTGGTTATAGCTGTTGCGGTTTTAAATTTTTTTAACCAAATAGATGATGGAATTAGAACTTGATGTCTTCATGAGAGTTGTAGGAAATCTTCTTATCTTTTATTTTATCTAAGGACGAGAATGATAGGAGTAGTATAACTTTATTTATGTTGTTTTATATGAAGGTTGTCATTTCACAATAAGTGATTTGGTTAAGTTGAAAGCTGTTTTGGAAGCTTGGGTTGATGTATGTTGTTTACGTTGTGTAAGTTGGCCTGATAGATGAATTTTAAACATGTTGGTTAATTTGTATTTTTTGTTGAATATGTTGTATGTCGTTGAAGTTGTTTATAAGGTTGTAAAGTTGCTAAGTTGTCTAATGAATATGAGTTGAGTAGTTGTTGGCTTAAGTTGTTTATATGTTGTGTATTTGATGAAACTAAGTTGTTTATATTTTGTTTATTGTGAAATTATTTATAAGTCGAGATGCATAAGTTGAAATAGTTTATTTTTGTAAAGCTTAATGAATGATGTCTATAGTTGCAAAGTCGTAAAGTTGATATTGTATTGACTATAGTTGCTCAAGTTGTTTATTCGGGTTGATATTATGATGTCTATTGTTGTAAAGTTGTATAAATATGTCTATTGTTTTAAAGTTGTTTAAAGATGTTTATTGTTGTAAAGTTATATAAAGATGCCTATTGTTGTAAAGTTGTATAAAGATGTTTATTGTTGTAAAGTTGTATAAAGATGTCTATTATTGTAAAGTTGTATAAAGATGTCTATTATTGTAAAGTTGTATAAAGATACATATTGTTGTAAAGTTGTATAAAGATGTCTATTGTTGTAAAGTTGTATAAAGATGTCTATTGTTGAAAAGTTGTAAAGTTGGGGACATATGGTGAAGATATATGTCCTATGTTGAGATACATAGTGCTAAGGTGATAAGTTAAAAGTTGTTTTAAAGTTGAATCTCTTAGTACTATATGGGCGATATGGAAGTAGTTGATCCATGTCATGGTTGAATGACCAAATTGAGTAAGGTATCTAGTTAGAGATATAGTCTTTGACTAGGTACTAGTGGGTGGGCTAACTTCATATGTGAATTAGTTATGCAAGCCAAGGTCATGGTAGGCCCATACCCAAACCCTTCTGCCCTGACAATAGTACTAAACCTCCGAGTCTAAGAGGCACACTTGAGCAATCGCTTATTATTGTCTATACTTGGTTCTCTTTGGAGTTCCTCAAACGTTGGATTCGGTAGGGTTTATGCCACCTAGACTACTCAACCTCAGTTGTGGAGATCTCCTAATTGTATATGCGTGACGATGCATTAGTTAATGTTACATGTGTTGTTGCTTTCAAGTTGAATATAATGTTGTATGAATGAGCTGATAATTTCTCTATTGTGTTAGAAATTATGTGGATGTGCTGTGATGATGAGTGATTGATCACTAGGACTAGATGATAAATTTTTGAAGTTGCTCATCCCATTATGCGGATTGAGATAGTTGTAGTGCTCTAAGAGCCTAGTTTGTTGAAAATCCCTCCCTGGGAAGTTGTCCCTTGGAGTGGATGATGTGTTGTTCTCCTCTAGGACTTAGTTGATCCCGTGTGTGGGTAAGGTCGAGGCACACATGTATGAAGCGACCACTGTATAGGAGTCAGACCAAGCTATACCGATTACAAGTGGCCAATTTAAGTAAAGTACGATGTGTTGAAAATGTTGTTGCTATTAGATGATGTTGTCGAGCTCGGAGCTCGGCTTCGCAGTACGGATAGTACAGAAATAAATAAAAAAAGTCTTTTGGGATAAAAATTGACAATCAAAATTAGTTGAAAATTAAAAAAATATATGTAATTAAAATGTTAATAGTAATATATATTTAAAAACTAAAATAACAATAAATATTTAAATTTAAATATTTATTTAATATTTTAATAATTTATTTGATTTTGTTTTTAAATTTGAAAAACTAATATAAGCACCATTTTCAGGAACAGAAGTGGATGTTTATTCTAAACATAGATTTTGTACATGTGTAATCATTGTGATATGATTTTCCAAAATCAAAGCCCCTAGTAGCAATCAAACCCTTTATGGGCATCATTTGTACAACGACGACAAAGAAACCCGTGAGCCCAATTAGTCCCTTTTGTTGGGCCTAAAACTGTAAAGCCGGATGGATCACTGTCCTCTCACTCCACGATTTACCGTTGTTTTGTTACCCACTTTCTCTAATTCTTTCTCCAGTTAAAAATAAAGACAAAATTTAAGGCAGCTTCTAAAACATTTTATTTTTTAATCAAAATTGAAGCTTACCTTCAAGAGTCTACATTAATATTTAATGTAAACACTTATTGTTCAAATTATTGAAATACAATTATAGTTTTGATTAAAGAACATTAAAATATACTTTAAAACTATACTTAAATTTAATCAAAAATAATTTATTGATCAAGTCAAAAGATCATAACGTAAATAATAATTATATAAATTATCGAAAGAAAACTCTAACTTTAATTCAACAACATTAAAACAAAACATTACTTAAATATTTATTATTTATTAAGTCTATAAGATCATATTTTAAAGGGTAATTTATTTGCGGAATCAAACAAAACAGCGCGAGTGAAGGGGGGAAGAATCAAGAGCTAAGAGTGTAAGAAGTAAGAACACAGAATTTTTCTTTCTTTTTTATTTATACTTTTCTAGCGTGTTCTAGATTTTTCCGCCACTAAATCCGGTGCCCGTGGGAACACGATACGCGCGGTAGCGTCGTGGATATGCGAGAACTACGACGTGGCGCGCAGCCACGTCTTCTGATTTGCCCTGACTTTTTATCTTTCACTTGACGCTTCTCACACTGTCACCTCTTTCCTCTCTCTCTCTCTCTCTCTCACACACAGAGAAGGCCGAAAGAGGAAGAGAGAAAATGGTAGCACCTGTCATGTCCTCACTCGAAACCCTAGAATAGTAGAACCCAATCCCACTCTCTTTTTCAAATCCATAAATACCCCTCTCACACTCTAAAATCCTTCTTTCATAAACCCAAGAACAGAACCGAACCAAACCAAACCAAAACGAAACGAAACACTTTCTCTCTCCGATTCTTCTGCGTCCAATCAGGTTCCATTCCTTCCTTCGCACCGAAGCTCCAATTGGTACGTTGCTTCTTCTCCTTCTTCTCTCGTTGCGCTCTTATCAACTCCAACAATTATTATTATTATTATTATCATTATTATCGATAAGCGACGCTCATGTTGCGTGAGCTAGGGTTAGGGTTTTTCCTCGTCCTCCTTCTTCCGTTAATCGTTTCGCGGTTTGTGTATCTTGCTTTTGACCTCGATCCTCTTCGCGATCGCGGTGTTGGTTCTTGGTTCTTGATTGCTCTTGTTCTTCTTCTTGTCGTCGCTGTGCTCACGATCGCGTTTCGTCGCGTGTTCAGCAGCTCACTGCACTATATGCTTCCAACGAAGAGACCTAGCGAAGGAGTGGTTGCACGAGAAGAGACCAAAGACAACAACAGAAAAAGTTTCGCCAAGAAGAATCGGATCGTCGCCGGAACTCTCGATTCCACGGTGAAGGACGAAGAAAACAGCGACCGGAGTTTCAACAGCAGCAACAACAACAACAATAACAACTCGCGTGAGGGAGCCTCGGCTATGGCTTTGGGCGACTCGAACCCGCCGGACATCGATGAGGATCTCCACAGCCGCCAGCTTGCCGTCTATGGGCGAGAGACCATGAGGAGGCTCTTTGCCTCCAACGTTCTCGTCTCCGGGATGCAGGGTCTTGGCGTTGAGATTGGTAAAATCTTTTAACACTTGGCTTTTATCGAATGCTTTTTGATCTAATGATGTTTCTTGAATGAAGATTGAATTACATTTGATATTTAGTATGCCAAATGCCTCGATTTTATGTTGGTTTTCTTGGAGCTTTCTATTTGATGTTTGTTGCAGAGTGAAATCGTTCAGGCAATAGATAATGGGATTTGTGCAAGTAGACTTGTTGATTTTATACATAGCTCTCCCTACAATGTGGAAAATAAATGGGTGCAGAGTGATGGGACTGTCCCTGTTTGTAATCTCGTAGTAGTGTGTTGTTCTTGATGATAGCTGATAGATGATAGATTTCTCGGTGGAAATGATACCAGCCATATTTTAAATTGCTATTACAGTTGTGGTTGTGTTGCATTCTTTGATATTGTTGGGAAACAAATGCGGCTGAGTGGCCACAATTGCGGTTGCAGTTAAGGTTATTAGTTTTCCATCTGTGACTTAGATTAGTAAATTAAACGATCATTTATTGTATAATTTTTACCATGCTTTTGGTTGTGTGGTTTTTTTTTTTTTTGTTTAATGGTGGTGGGTATTAGGTTCAACTTTCAAATAATGCAAGCTTTGTAATTTTAAATATTTCTGAATTCTAATTAAGTCTTCTGCCTGCAGCAAAGAATCTCATTTTAGCTGGTGTCAAATCTGTGACCTTGCATGATGAGGGGACTGTGGAGCTGTGGGATCTCTCAAGTAACTTTGTGTTTTCAGAGAACGATATTGGCAAAAACCGGGCAGCAGCTTCTGTTAGTAAGCTGCAGGAGCTCAACAATGCAGTGATCGTACAAAGCTTGACTACTCAGCTGACGAAAGAGCACCTTTCCAATTTCCAAGTACTTAATTCTGCCGTCTAATTAAAATAGTTAATGTTATTGTATGTTACATGGTTGTTGTATTTATGTCTGTTATATCACAGTTAATAATTGGTAAGTACTAGTCACTTCACATTCTTCCCTAACAACTTCTTATAACCATAGGTTTGAAATGGCTATCTGCTGCAAATGGGGTTATTATTAATAGTGATTATTCTTATATAGACTTCTTTTAATATAAAATTTTACCTGTAAATTGATTGCAACTCACCTTTTTGTATATTCTATTTCTAGCGCCTTTGCATAAATTACGTCCTTGTTTGATCATTTATGAATATAGAAGACACTTTTCATGTTTATTTGTGATGGTGTAACATAATGCGAAGCCTTGTTTTCTTATTTCCAAACATAAATGCATTTGATTTCACTTTATTTTGATAATATATATTTACATTTTTTTGTTTTACTGTTTTTTAGGCTATTGTTTTTACTGATATCAGTCTTGAGAAAGCCTTTGAGTTCAATGATTACTGTCACAGTCATCAGCCTCCTATTGCCTTTATTAAAACTGAAGTTAGAGGCCTTTTTGGTTCCGTATTCTGTGATTTTGGGCCTGAGTTTACTGTTTTTGATGTGGATGGAGAAGAACCCCATACTGGCATAATTGCATCTGTAACCAATGACAATCCGGCTCTAGTTTCCTGTGTTGATGATGAGAGGCTTGAGTTTCAGGATGGTGATCTTGTTGTATTCTCTGAAATTCATGGTATGAAAGAATTGAATGATGGAAAGCCAAGAAAGATTAAAAATGCTAGAGCATTTTCGTTTAATCTTGAAGAAGACACTACCAATTATGGTATGTATGAGAAAGGTGGTATTGTTACTCAGGTTAAACAACCAAAGATATTGAACTTTAAGCCTCTCAGGGAAGCACTCAGCGATCCTGGTGATTTTCTTCTGAGTGATTTTTCTAAGTTTGATCGCCCACCTCTCCTTCACTTAGCATTCCAGGCTTTGGATAAATTCATTTCTGAGTTAGGTCGCTTCCCTATTGCTGGTTCAGAGGATGATGCACAAAAGCTTATATCTGTTGCCAGTAATATCAATGACAGTTTAGGGGATGGGAAATTAGAAGACATCAATCCAAAACTTTTGCGGTACTTTGCCTTTGGTGCTAGGGCAGTATTAAATCCTATGGCTGCCATGTTTGGTGGAATTGTTGGACAAGAGGTTGTCAAAGCATGTTCCGGGAAGTTTCATCCACTTCTTCAGGTAAGCATATTTTTATTGGGTAATTGTTTTCCGAGTCTTGAAATGTTGTGTTGTGCTAGTAAACCCTGCTTAGATGAAACATCTTTTGATAAAATTGCCCTTCCTATTGAGTAGTTAGCCAATTGATGGTGTGTGTTCTGTTGTTTCCAACTTTTGGTTGATATTTGATTTTGTTGTTTCTTTTAGAGGACGTTTAGTAAGGGGGAAGTTTTTTCATATCCAGGAATCATGATTCTTGGGAATTAGAAATCTTGGGAATCATGATTTCTAGGAATAGTTAAAATATGTTTGGTTACTCATAAAGGTTCATTAGAATATTCATATAGAATTCCCAGAAATTAAAAAATTTCATGTTTGTTTACATTAATATATTCCTGAGAATATGAATATTTTTTTTCAAAAATATCCTCTATTAAAATAAAATTATTAGATATATTTATTTACTTAAATCATATTACTAATATGACATTAAACTATTTTTTTTAAGTTGAAAAGTTATAGTTAAAATTATTTAAATACAGAATTCAACAAAAAAATAAACAGAGAAATATGTTACATAATAATTAAGAAGGATAGAAATATATATCTCATTTCATTCAAATAAATAAATAAATTAATTAATTGAAAAGTTTTAACAAATATCATTAAATCATAGAAACAAAGTAGACTTTAATAATATTATTAAAATTGACAATGTCAATAAATAATGAAATATAAGAGAGAGAGAAATAAAGATATGGGTGGGGGAGAGAGGGAGAGGAAGAGAGGGGGAGTGAGAGTGAGAAAAAGAAATAGGAGAGAGAGAGAAGGGGAGTGAGAGATAGAGAGAGAAAGAGAAATAAAAGGAGAGAGAGAAAGAGAGAGACCTTCTGTTTTAAAAAAGGGTACTATGATCTTTTTATGTACATTAAAATTTCTCCCGAACTTGGGAAAGTTGGATTCCTAACCCTCATGAGAACGTTTTAGTAGGAAAGTAGAATAAAAATGGTTCCCAAAAAACAACATTCTTAGGAATCCTTTTTTTTTTTTTTAAATAACTACCAAACATAGGAAAATTGTCACTTTAAGATTCCTAGGAATGTAAAAACATTCTGTATACCAAACTCTCCCTTATAGTATTGTTTACCTTATCCAATCTAGTTTCTAAATAAAGATATCTCCTAACCATTTGTTGAACAAGACGTGTTGAACTTTATTCTTATAAATAAAATCAGACCTTGACTGTGAATTGGTATTGATTCTGTATCATTTTAGTGTTACTTATTTGCCATTTGAATTTTGAATTTATAAAGGGGAGCCTTGGAACAACAGATAGAATTGCCTCCATGTGACTTAGGAGGTCAGAGGTCATTACATAGAATTAGCCTCTTGCAAATGCAAGGTAAAGGCTGCCCACAAAAGACCCATAATCAGTCCTGCGGTTGACCGGTTGTGGGAGCTTTGCACCGGGTTGCCTCCTCCCACATGTGTATTGAATTTTATCTTCCCTCTGTACACCTTGTAAACAACAGAAAGTGGCCATTACCTAGAGTCATGTGTTGCTTATAAAGTCACGTGAAAATATCACTGGGACAGATGAGCTTCCCCTGAAGATAATGTGCATTTTGTTTTGTACATCCTGTATTGATTCCTAGGTTTAACCAGTGCTGTCATGTGGTGAGGCAGTCACCCCAAAAAGTGCATCACTTTGATGTAGAGAAGGCAAGTGGTGTTCATAGTAGTGAGTTCTGGGCCATGTTCATTTGGCTTGGTTAAAGACCAAAGTTTCAGCAATGTTATTAACCATGAGATATAACCTTCAATATTCAAACAGAAAAAATTGAATTGGGGAAGAAGTGGGTTTGGCTGGAAATAGAACAATGAACTTTCTTGTTTCCAAATTGAGGAAATAGCGAATAAAATTGTGTAACTTGTAATTGATTGCCAACATATATAGGAAGAGCTAGGAAAGCAAGTAGGTGGGGAATATTCAAACAGAAAAAATTGAATTGGGGAAGAAGTAGGTATGGCTGGAAATAGAACAATGAACTTTCTTTTTTCCAAAATTGAGGAAATAGCAAATAAAATTGTGTAACTTGTAATTGATTGCCAACATATATAGGAAGAGCAAGGAAAGAAAGAAAAAGTAGGTGGGGATGATTAAGCTGTTGCTGTATCACTGAGTGGTAGTCAATATTGATGATTGTGCTGCTATGGGGAATATCAAGGCAGAGTGCCTGCTAGCTGCTTTATGTTATGTCATGTTGCATTTCAACCTTGTGCTTGTCTATGATTATAGCCTTTCAAAGTTTAATTTGCATCTATATAGCAGCCACAATTCTGATGTGGTCTGAAATTCCTTTAGCCATAGCCCTCTTGTTTATTTTCGGAAGATTTCTGTGATCTTACACCCTTTGTGCATTAGAAGGTTTTAGGGTTAGAGTCTCCACCCACTTGACAGTTCTATAAACAAGATAACGTGAGTGTATAATTCAGTTTACATAGAAAACTGAAAATAGACATGCATCACTACTTATAGATGTTCTGTTCTATTTTATCTTATTTTAAAAAGCTGTAAAAGAGGTATTACTGTTAGAAACAGTTTTCAAAAACTACTATCAAATAATTTGTTTTTTCCAAAATTAGAAAACCGATTTGAAGAATAGAAAACAAACAGTCCCTAATACTTATCTGTATTATTTATTATGGTTTTAACTTCTGTTTCTCTGCAGTTTTTCTACTTTGACTCTGTGGAATCACTCCCTTCAGAACCAGTGGATCCAAATGATTTCAAACCCGTAAATGGTCGTTATGATGCACAGATTTCAGTATTTGGACAGAAATTACAGAAGAAATTGGAGGATGCTAAAGTGTTTGCTGTTGGATCTGGTGCTTTGGGATGTGAATTTTTAAAAAATCTTGCTCTCATGGGAGTTTCTTGTGGAAGTCAGGGTAAGCTCACTATTACTGATGATGATGTGATAGAGAAGAGTAACCTGAGCAGGCAGTTCCTCTTCCGTGATTGGAATATTGGACAGGCCAAGTCCACAGTTGCTGCTTCAGCTGCTGCATCCATAAATCCTAGCTTTAATATTGAAGCACTACAAAATCGAGTTGGCAGTGAAACTGAAAATGTGTTTAATGATACCTTCTGGGAAAACTTGAGTGTTGTGATAAATGCACTAGACAATGTTAATGCAAGGCTATATGTTGATCAGAGATGCTTGTATTTCCAAAAGCCTCTTCTTGAGTCTGGAACTCTTGGAGCCAAGTGCAATACCCAGATGGTCATTCCCCACCTGACAGAAAACTATGGTGCATCAAGAGATCCTCCTGAGAAACAGGCACCAATGTGTACTGTGCACTCATTTCCGCACAACATTGACCATTGCTTGACATGGGCACGATCTGAGTTTGAGGGCTTGCTTGAGAAAACTCCAGCTGAAGTAAATGCATACTTGTCTAACCCAAGTGAATATACTAATGCAATGAGAAATGCTGGTGATGCTCAAGCAAGGGATAACTTGGAGCGTGTTCTTGAGTGCCTGGAACGGGAGAAGTGTGAAACTTTTGAAGATTGTATCACTTGGGCTCGGCTGAAGTATGTACCTTTGATAGTATATTCTGTCTGTTTTCTTATATCAATGTTGTGTAAGCATGCTAGTTTTTATGTCCTTTATTATTTACAGTTATTTTTCTACAGGTTTGAGGATTATTTTGCTAACCGGGTGAAGCAGTTGATCTATACTTTTCCTGAAGATGCTGCCACTAGTACTGGAGCTCCTTTCTGGTCTGCACCAAAAAGATTCCCTCATCCACTACAGTTCTCAGCCTCTGATTTGGGTCATCTAAATTTTTTGTTGGCAGCTTCTATTTTAAGGGCAGAAACATTTGGTATCCCAATCCCTGACTGGGGTAAGAACCCAAAGAAGGTGGCTGAAGCTGTTGATAGGGCAATAGTACCCGACTTCCAGCCTAAGAAAAATGTAAAAATAGTGACAGATGAGAAGGCCACCAGTCTCTCTACAGCTTCTATAGATGATGCAGCAGTAATTAATGATCTAATTCTCAAGTTAGAGAGGTGCCGGGCAAATCTGCCACCAGAGTTCAGGATGAAACCAATTCAGTTTGAGAAGGTTTGTTTTGCCTTTCGGACACTTCTAACTCTTCTACTGTGATGCTTTCTCTGGTTTCATTCTCCTGATAAAACATTTCCATGATCTTGTCAATTGTTTTATATTTGTAGTTTATGTTTGATAATGTTGGATTGGTTGAGTTTGATTTTACTTGGATATGAACCTGCTGCATTTTTGTGTATATATATTGAGTGGTTTTCATGAACAATTGAAAAATTGTCATTGTTCTATTAAAACTGCAGGATGACGATACAAACTACCATATGGATGTGATTGCCGGGCTTGCAAATATGAGGGCACGGAATTACAGCATTCCCGAGGTTGACAAGCTTAAAGCCAAATTTATTGCTGGACGGATCATTCCTGCAATTGCAACCTCAACTGCGATGGCCACTGGTCTTGTCTGCCTGGAGCTCTACAAAGTTTTGGATGGAGGGCACAAAGTTGAAGACTACCGAAACACATTTGCTAACTTGGCACTGCCTCTGTTTTCAATGGCCGAACCTGTTCCTCCAAAGGTTATCAAACATCAAGATATGAGTTGGACAGTTTGGGATCGATGGATTCTTAGCGACAATCCTACCCTGAGGGAACTTCTGGAGTGGCTGAAGGGAAAGGGCCTGAATGCTTACAGTATTTCTTGTGGAAGTTGCCTGCTCTATAATAGCATGTTCCCTAGGCATAAAGACCGAATGGACAAAAAAGTTGTGGATCTGGCTAGGGAAGTAGCAAAGTTGGACATTCCTTCATACCGTCGTCATTTGGACGTTGTTGTGGCATGTGAGGATGATGATGATAATGATATCGACATCCCTCAAGTATCCATTTATTTCCGTTAGATGGTTGCTTTCATCTTGATAGAGGTGTGTGCTTGAGACATTGGTGTAAACGACTCTCACGCTTCATATTCATAATTGATACACAGGCAACATTGTTAACTATGTCAAATTTCATATATGAATTGAAAAAAACAACCTTTCCTTCCTCGTCTTATCTTTCATTCCATGCTTTTGAGAGATGTGTTGGTCACTTCACCATATCTCATTCTTCCGTTTCTTTATTTGTTGTAGCTGTGCTGAGTGTTGGTTGAGTTATAAATATAACAAGAATAGTGCGTTTATTAATTACGAACTACTTTTTAATAATTGTGGAAGGCAATGGCAGGAGTTGTAGATGAGAAGCGAGTAATGGTAGTTATTTTAGGAGGGCAATAGTGATCGAGATTTTGTTGATATACATACTATATTAGTGTATTTATAGCAAACAGTGGTGGCGTGTTTTTGTGATTCTATCAGTAATTATTAATCAGTCTATGAATGTGTATTGTCTGGAAATTACTCTTCCGAATTGGTGATACTAGAATTATAACATTATATATATATATATATATTATGTGTTCATATATAAATTTAAAATTAGTATATAAGATATTTTGAATCTATAAATTATATTTTTAGTTATTAATTATAACATCGTTAATAAATATTAATTATAAAATTTTAAAATATACTTTTAATTAAAATATTTTCAGTTCAATATCATTCATCCAACTAATAAAATAATTATAAAATATATAATTAAAATTAAAATAATTTATTAAAATAATAAATAAAACATAAATTATATGTGTATATATATATACATAATATATGTCAATATGTATGATTTATAAATTAATATATATATATATATATAAGCATTAAATTTTATAATAATTATATTTATTTGATAATAGCACTTTAATATAAATATAATCATTTAAAAAAAATGTTTGATACATATATTTTATCATTAAATATATTAAATATGATAAATAATATTTTAAAAAAAAATATCAATTTATTTAGATATTTATTAAAAACATAAATTAAATAATATATTTAGTATGTGGGTTGGTTCAACTTAACATAGTTTAAAATATATGAATTGAAAATGGAATTGAATTAAATAAGAAAATGAGTTTTGTTTTTTAATCAAGTTAATGGTTTACTTAATTTTCTTTACCTTATTTTTCTAAGGTTAAAAGTGATGACTAATTTTCGTTGATGAGAATGTAGACAAGATAACTTTCAACATAATTTATCATATCCAAGATTAGGATTTGAACCTATAATATATTAAGGGATATGAATCGCTATCAGCCTATCACGAATGTCACTGAATGTTAATGTATAATTTTCATAAAGTATCTTAATGTTATTCCATATATGTATTATTATCATTTCTTTATTTTTTGTATACATACAAACTCTCTCCTTTTGTTCAAGAGAGATATAAGATTTGCTTAAAAGAAAATAAACTTTGTTATTTTCTTAATCGTGTCAGAGCTTGGGACGTCAAAAATCATATCCAAACCTAATCTCTCAATTCAATCTTTTCACCAATGTAGCAACTTAGTTTCAATCAAGTTGTGTACCACACATTTCCTTCTTTGGAAATCTCAAATTCTATCATTGATTCGGGACCTTAACCTTGAGCATCACATCACAAGTTTTGAAAAACCAGTTGATGAAGTCATTGATTCAATTAGAAACAAAAAAAAAATCTATAAAAGAGCAGTGGGTGTTGAAGGGTGGATTACTCATTTCATGGCTTCTTAGTAACATGAAAGAAGAAACTCTTAGCATAATCTATGAAGGGGATATAACTTGTTCAATTTGGAATACACTCCATAACCAGTTGTTGCCTAACACCAAAGACAATGAGACTCAGTTGAAAAATAATCTTTGTAGCTTATCTAAGGGATATTTGTCCTTGGATGAATACATAAGAAAATTTAAAGAAATTAGTGACAAGCTTGCAGCCTTAGGCAAACCACTATCAGATGTAGATAAAGTTTTTCAAATCTCAAAAGGACTTGGAAGCAAATACAAGGGAGTTTCGAATTACGATTTTATCAAAACCCCTATATCATTATTTTAATCAATTTATTATGTCCTTGCAAAACTTTAAACAAGTTTATCTTTAGGAAGAAAAGTCTCCAATTGATCATCATCATTGCTTTTTTAGCTTTCAAGGAAAAGGAAGAAATATACGTAGTGGTAATTTTAGAGGACGTGGCTCAAACAATTTCACACAATCATTCTCGTAGCAGCCACAACTATCAAGCCTCTAACTTCAAACCTTCGCCAAATTCCAACAATAATTGGAAAGGACCTCTAAGACAACAAACTAAGGAAGCCTATCAAATCCATGGTAGAACAAACCACATTGCCACAAAGTGTTATTACAAGTATGATATATACAACAATGCAAATGAGAATTCCCAAGAAGCTTGTTTGCCTTGAATCTAAATGATGACAATGATCCAAACTTTTATGTCGATTATGGGCCTACCACCCATATGACCAGTCAAGTAGGTAACTTAAAAAATCTTAAACCATATTTTGGTAGTGATACTATTTTTGTTGGTAATGGACAAACTTTATCCATCACCAATAAGGATAAAGCCTTGCTTAAAACCACACAAGGTAAGCTTCACTTAAACAATATTTTGGTTGTGCCTAAACTTAAAAAGAATTTGTTATCTATAAGTCAACTTATTAATGATAATGATTGTTTTTTTGAATTTAACTCTTATGATTTTCTTATTAAGGATTAGAAACAAAGTACCTTGGTCAAAGGACATAAACAAGGGAACCCATATTCTCTTAAGGGAGAGAAAATTGAAGCTTTTACTACTACTAAGGAAACATCTTCCGAGCAATGGCATGCATGTTTAGGACATCCAAATTTAATTTTTTTTTGAAAAAATTAGAAAAAACAAACAAGTCAGTAGTATTTCAAATTGGCTAACAAAAAATGTCTTATGTTATAGTTATCAATTTGGAAAACATTGTAAGCTTCCTTTTAATAAGTCCACTTTTGTTTCAATTTTTCCTTTAGAAAAAATTCATAGTGATTTATGGGGACCGACCCTTATTGCTTCCTCACAAAAATTTCAATACCATATGATTTTTATAGATGATTTCATTTGTTATACATGGTTATATCCTTTAAAGAAAAAAAATTGAATTTTATTCTTGCTTTCTAAAATTTCAAGCCTTTGTTGAGAAACATTTTGACAAGAAGATCAAAGTCTTTCAAAGTGATGGCGGTGGAGAATTCACCTCAAATGTATTCATGAATCATCTGACTTATAATGACATTATTAAACAATTATTGTGTCTTCGCACACCAGAGCAAAATGGTATTGTTGAATGTAAACATCGACACATTGTCAAAACAAGCTTAACTTTACTTTTTTATGCTAATGTTCCTTTAAAATTTTGGGTTGATGCCTTCCTTATATGCCTCTCTCATTCATTAGTAAGGAAACTCCATATTATAAACTCTTTTAAAAAAAATTGATTACTCTGAATAACGAACTTTTAGTTGTCAATGTCCTCTATATTTAAAGACAATTGAATTACATTAAGTTTTCTAGAAAAATCGTCTCTTGCATTTTTATAAGATATAGTCCACTCTATAAAGGATATCGATGTTTTGATCTTAATACTCATCGTGGTTATATTACTCATCTCGTAGTATTTAATGGACACTATTTTTCCTATTTGTCTCACACAAACTCCGTGCATGCACAATCATATGATTCATCTATTACTACTTTGCCTAACTTTGATGAATGGTTTTTAGGAAGTAAGAATGACACATCACCTCTAGATGATTCACCAACTATCCCTTCTAAAATATTGGTCTTGAGTCCTATAAAACCTTCTTAACAAACTTCCATTTCCTCAACCACACCCTCATCCAATCTAGAACTTGTTACTTCCAAATCCAACATGGACACATCTTTTGCACCGTCTTCATCCTCCCAACTAATATTGGGTAATACAACTTCAATTGACAATTTACATTCTCCACCTCATAATCCTCCCAAATATATATTAAAAGAACTTTTACACATGATTTGTGATATCTATCTTAAAGTTCTCTAACTATTAATGCTTTGTGATGTAGATTGGGCAAATTGCCTGATCACTCGATGAAGCACCACTAGTTATTGCATTTTCCTTGGATCAAATTGTATATCATAGGCTTCTAATAAACAACCAACTATCTCTTAGTCAGGCATTGAAGCTAAGTATAAATCTATAGCAACCATTGCAACTGAAATTACATGGCTTCAATATCTTTTTCATGACCTGGGCATCACTCTTGAACGACATCGACTTCTTTGTGACAACAAAAGTGTTATCCATTTGTCTCAAAATCTTGTGCTACATGCTCAAACTAAGCACATTGACTTGATTACCATTTCATTTGGGACAAAGTTATTGTCAATGACATTTAATTTCAATATGTACATACAACTCAAAAAATTGTCAATGTATTCATTAAAGCATTATGCAATGATCCATTCTCTACATTTTGTTACAAGCTTGGCGTGCATCCAACCTCACTCCCAACCTTGAGGGGGAGTGTAAAGAATAATGAGAATCCCTCAACTCAAGCATTCAATCAAGAGAAATCAATCAAACTTTTAGAGGACAATCTTAATAAATGCATTGCCTTGATTCCTGAAATCAAATCAAATAATTCTTATGAAGTCTCTCAATGTTGTTTCCATATAATTCTCATAAACTCTCTTAATGTTGTTTCCACATATATATTATTATCATTTCCTTATTTTTATATCTATACAAACACTCCTTTGAATTAGGAGTGGTATAAGATTTGCTTAAAGAAAATAAACTGTCGTTTTCTTTAATTTTTAGTAGATAAGTTCTAAATAACACTTCTAAACTTGTATCTAAACAAACTCTTAAAATGATTTGAATTGGTTCTTAAACATTCATATAAAAACTTTAAAACATAATTTCCATCCTGAAGGAAATAACATAATTGATATAATTACAACAGATACCGACTCTTCAAGAAATAATTTGATTATTTTAAATTTTCTGTCATGGAATATGCATAATTGCATGTAGAAGAATCCATTATCAGTTATCAAGTTTGTCAAGGAGTTGTAGTTTTATTAAGAAAATAGGAGAAAAAATTTGGAAAAAAAAATAGCTTTAAATTTAGGGTGTGCCCCAAGATTCACGCGTCAGTGAGGTTAAGTTTGGATAGAAAAAATAAGAAAATAAAATAAGATAAACTTCTATTATTAATTAAAGTTAACTTATATAGTACAATTCTTATGAAAGTTCTCCCATCTAACCCAAAATGAACGTACACTTAATCTTCCAAAAAAGATTATCTAAACAATCTAAACAAACGACAAAATTAGTATGGGAATCGCGCAATTGAACCTTCATAGTACGTATGTCTCGTAAAAAGGAATTTGGTCTAATTGTATTTAGTTTTTTATTTTCTTTCAATTTAGAGTGTATCATTTAATCTTTTTAAGTTTTTTAATTATTTTTTTTAAAAGTTGTGTAAATTTAGTATGGGGATCGCGTAATTGAGCCTTCATAGAATGTAATTTTGCTTACTCAAATTCTTGTTTTTATTCAAGTTTCTTGTTAATTCAAAATTTATCAAACTTTTTATTTATAAAATTTTAAAATTCTTTTAACTTGGGACACGAAACTTTTCTTAACTAAATTTGTTGCCAACACATCCATTAGATGAATCAATAACACTTGTTATAGCTTTGTTTATTTTCAAAAGAAATTTGAGATTACCTTAGAATTTATTAACACTCACTAATAGGAAAACTCGGTAAAAAAATCCTATTACAAACTTCCTATTTGATTTTGCAACAAGAGGCAAGATAACCAACTTTCAATCTTTTATGTTTGGACATGAACTTCATTAAGACAAATCATTTCTGTTAGCTTTTATCAGCACCTTCATCAAAGTCTCTAGAAACTCCAACCCGGAAATCAATTTGTTTCTGATGCTTTGATCGCCGGCGCTCATCAAAATTGTCCCACCCTTCAAACTGTAAGAAAGCCATGCAGTTTGATTAGCCTTTTGTTGAAATGGAATAGTTATTTGTGATTGGAATTTGGAAATATAATACAAAAATGTAAGTGCACACCTGGCGAAGGAGATCAATTGTTATTTCGGTATCATGGAGATCCAGTGTGGAGAGTTGAAGACAATTCTTGAAAAGTTTGGATGGAAGAGATTTCATGGCATTGTTAGTAAGATACAAAGCCTGCATAGTTTACACAACGGTGGAGTACAAAGTAGGAAAAGTTAATACAGGTACCAGATTCATTTTTAGAGAGACATAAGTAACAAAGAAGAGATGATAGATATATTAATTAGGTACAGTTAATTACAACACCTTCCTTCTTTCTATCGGGAAAATGGTGAGTGCTAACTCTGTACTTTATCTCACATCCCACTAATCCTTATCGTGTGTGTAAATTCCTAGTTACTCTCAAAATTAAGTCAAATTTAAGCATGTTTCCTTTCTTATTCTTTACCATATAGATTTAAACTTATTACACTAACATCATAGAAGGAACTTGATAAGAATCTTCGGAGAATCATCACATCACAAAAGCTAGCTATTGTAGTTGGACGGTCCAAGATATTTTAATCCCCACACTAGAATCTCATACTCTCAATGTAGGATTTTATACAATGCCATTGGATCCTAATATTGTTTTTTACAAACATAAGATTAAAAGCTTCATTCAATGCATCAATGTGAAGCAATCAACATGTATTAGGTTACAAAAATGAAACTGCAACTGAATATAATTACAGTTCTCAAATTTCAAAACTATTTAAAGATAACATACTGAATAGTTAATAAACCACATGTGGGTGGGAAACAAATCCACCTTGAATTTTCTTTTCTCGTTAAGTAAAATGGGTGAAAAAGGCTACCTTCAAGTTGCTCAAACCACTAAATGTCTCAGGCAACTCTGACAGAAAATTTGATGAGAAATCGACCTGTGCCACAAGAAAACTTGGATAAGTATAACGACAAAATACATCATCTAAGAAAAATGATAATTTTCAGTGATCTTTTAATTTGTTACAGCTGTATCAGTTAGGTAGTCCCTTTTTAAAAAAAAAGGAATACAAAAATGAGAAAGAGGACAGAAGACCAACAACAGCTGTACCTCAACAAGAGAATGGCAGTTCCCAATAGATTCACTGATGATACTTATCCTGAGAAAAAGAGACATGTCTATCAAAATAACAATTTTTTACCCAACATCAATAAGTACTTTGTAAATAGTTATTTTTATAATAGAATTTACTGCAAGAATTAGGGAAATTTTGCATAAACTGGTTCATTCAGCTAAGTAAACGGATGAGCATTGTCTCGTAGTCTTTTGGATTAAAACTTGATGAAAGGGATGGATAAGGGCGGCTTATGCCAGATTCTTCAACTGGCTCAAGAAAGATTTGAATCTGACACTTACAATTTTATTTTATTTTTTTGGCAAAGAAAAAAAGGTTGGGATTTTATCATTCAAATCATTAATATTTACTACTTATTTAGGGGTTTGAGGAGGAGGCTTGACAGAAGAGGAGAGGGTGTGGTTGAGTATTTTATGGTTACTATATAACTAAAATCCATACATCCAAAATATAACTCCAATAAGAATTTATATTTATTCATTCTTAAAATTGCAACATGTAAACAAGCACATATAAATCAATTAGATGGACAAAGTAAACAAGTAAAGTGTCAGACAATGATTAAACAGCATGAGCTATGAAAAACTATCCATACTTAATCAAATGCAGAAGTTTAAATAATACCTATTATTGTTAGCTCGCAAAACTTCTAATTGTGTCAGCTGCCCTATTTCATTTGGAAGGCCACCCAATTTATTATTGGAAACATGCAGCTCCCTTAAAGAGGTAAGAGATCCGAGTGCTGGTGGAAAAGTAGTTAAACTGCATAATTCATGTTAAATAAGCAAGATTACATTAAGGGACAGAATTCTTGATCAGCTTGAAACATAAAGATATAGCAGCCAAAGGTAAAAAGAATTGAATTTTTTCTTCCAACTATGCAAAGAATTTAACAAAATGAACAGAAATAACATTAAACCAAAATAGCTGAAGTAACGTTTACGTTAGTTTAAGACACCCTCTAGCATTTTACATTTAACTCCAAAGCAATATGCTAGAAACATGAAAACAAATATAATTACTCCACCCCATTTTCTTTGGGCAGGGGACCAGCTACAGAAATTCACGATGGTTTGGATGCACAAACACAAATCATCGTTCATGCAATACTTATATATCACATTGAAATTGTAAATGATAACATCTACTCACTTGTTATTGTTCAATGATAATACAGTTAGGTACTTCAGAGTTGTAAGTCCTTCCCACCTAATTGATTCATCCACTATCTCATTTGCATTAATGAATAGTTTCTGCAGTGTTTTTGAAAATAGCAAGCAGTGTTAAATATTGCTACCAACAAAAATATCTGAATGCAGCAGAAACTAAAGCTATAAAGAGAGAGAGAAGTTCAGCTTACCTCTAGACCAGTAAGACCTGCAATTTCAACAGGGACATTTTTAATGGAATTGTGGTTGAAATCTAGAACTCTTGCAGAAGACCCACAAACCCACACTTCATCAGGTATGGCCTATTTAAATTGAAATTCTAGGAAAAATGAGAAGAAATTTCATAAAATAATCGACAAGCAATTAAATATCCTTAAAAAAGAAAATTGATTTTATTTTCCTGGGTTTTCCTTTTCCTTATTGGCTGTTTTAAAAATTCCTCTCATTTCTAGGTTCACCAAGCTACAGAGCAATTTCTCATGGTTATCTCTAAAGGACTAGACAACAATACAATATTCTTATTGGCTTTTCAGTAACGGCTCTATTTACAGCCTAGAACTTGAAAAGTCACAACATATCCTTCCACATGTTCTTGTTGGCTCACTCTATGTTGCTTAGAATTAAGATAGACTTTACTGTTTACAAGACTAAAGTGAACAGTGATGCCAGAACATATCCTTCCACCAGAACACGGGTATTAAACAGTTGATAACAATATATTATGTATGACATGCAAAGTCACAAATGTAGCTTCCAGCAAGTTCTACGATGCTTTCTAGCCCTTCGCCTAATCCAAAATGACTAAGTAGAGTAATACTTGGAACTACTATTATTTGCTTATAAAGCATATTGAGCTCAGTAGAAATCTGATGGAAGATTGAGTGTCAAATCACATCAGATATGAACATGAATGATTTATCCTTCCAAATTGTCTTCAGTAAAGAAAGGTATGGTATTCCTTTTTCCTATAGAGTTCGTGGTATAGCCATCAAATCATGTATGGCTGACCAGCAAGATATTCTATAGTTAAATAATGCACAGAAGAGATATAACATATGACCATAACTGGATGAGGTTCTTCTGGTCTGGACGACAAACAATTAGAGGGATAAAAAGACAAACAGAACATCTTAATTTCAACCAAAATAATCGGTGATCCATCTTGTACAGCAGCAACAAATACATAATCAAACTAGAAGAATTAGCAAATGGTAGTTAGCTAATTTGGCAGGATCAAACACAGTAATGATGCAAAAGTCTTGGGTTCACTTTTATGTAAGTATCGTTGTAAACTCGTGCGGCTTGTGACATGTCTTAACCTTGGAATGAAAACTTCCCTTCCTCCTAAAACTTTATCATAACGGTAAAATAAAATTCTACTATGAATTATAATACTTTGGTAGATTGTTTTGTAAATGAAGTTATAGCCCAGCTCCAATCATGCTATATTTTGAAGTAAACATGTCCCTAACATGTAAACTGCTTAAGACATTCCATACGTATATATGGCATATAAAAGAAAGATAAAATAAAAAATAAAATAAAAAAGAGAGAAGATAATTTCATACCATTTTGTTTGCAATTGCATAATAGTATCTGAATAGGAAAAATCTTCAAAAGCATGCCATTAAGTAAAATTTAGTGTGTTCCTTATTTCTCAATTTCCATTGACACCAGAAGCAAAGGGTCTAGTTGAATATAAGACAAAACCATGAGCTTTTTTTCTTTCGTTTTTTTTTTTACCTCCAAATTGCATTCAGACAATGCTACAACTCCTGTTGCTTTCCACCGCTCCAACCTGTTCTTAACAGGAATTTTCTTCCAGTCATTGCTAGAACCTGAGTGGCTATCCCTTGATCTTGGAACAACCTGAGCTTTCTTCAAGACAGGACCATCCTACACAGAAATTTGAAATCCTCAACCTGTATTTTTCTGATTGCCATAGAAACAAAAGCAAACTCTACAGGGCCACATCTACAAACATAATTTTTACTTTCAACAATAAGCTCGATAAACCTCATCAAACTTGTCAGATACACCCATTCTAGCTAGCCCCATTCATCTCCCACACGAAAGGATCCATCTAGTACGTTCATAACAAGCTTGGTAAGGCATTTTGTTAGCATTTTCCGTCTGTTTACCCCATACCCATAAAGCCACAATTTAGCTTAATAATGAAATCTTACAGCATAGTTAATAACTCTTCATGCTATACCAAAGTTGAATTTATTTTTGCTTAAAATTTTGAGTTTAATTTTAATGCATAGCCAGTGTAAAGATTTTTAACACCGTAAACCAGTCATAAATCATCCTATATATGACACCTAAAACAGTCGTTATAAAAGTCATCAATCTTATTGACAAATAACAATCTATAATTGGACGACAATGTAATAAAAAATCGTTTTTTTTAACCGGTATGAATTACAATTACAGTAACAAGATTCAAATTTACCACCTTGTGCATATTTCCCAATCTTTATACTCTACCACCTTGTGCATACTACCCTAATCTTTATACTCTCAGACAGAATCTAAATTCTAAATTCTTTAAAGAAAAGAAATAAATTTTATTGAACAACACTATCTCTGTAAAGATTGAGGTGAATATATTGATATACAATACCCCTTGGTGTAAGCCTTGGGAAGCCACAAGCATGAGTTTGGAGCCATTAGTCAAGTTGGATGCAGACAAAGTGATGGGGTCCTCCAAAATCCTTCCTGCAAGATGATTAGACACGAATGAAGAAAAGGGGTTTCTTGCGGTTGTTGAATGAGAAAGAGGAAGGGAAAAAGGTTGAACCTTTGAAGATGAGTTTCTGGCCACGAGGGAGGACATTGGTGGAAGGTAGAAGAAGGGTCTTGAGGTCTTTAATGGTGGAGTCGGGTGAGATTGAAATGGGTATGGAGACGCCATTGAACTTGACGTTTATGGTTATGGTATTGGTGCCACTGTCACTCGAATTGGCTTCCATCTCACAGTGAGGAAGAAGATCATGTACCAGCAAAACGCACAGCACTATTCACTCTTGAATCTTCTTGGACTTCGATGGATTCAAATTACAACAGATTCTCAACTCGGAGTTGCACTTATTATACTTCTTGTTCATTTATAATATTTTCAATATTTATTTATTTATTGTCTTTAATATTTCAAAATTAAAGAATATTATTTTAGTTTTTTTTTAAATTTGAGTTAATTTTAAATATTTTATGTGAACACAACAAAATAATTCTTACAGCTCAAATTGGTAAAAGAATAAAATCTAAAAACTTATATATGTTTTTAGTTTATTTAAAATAAATTAGTTTTGATTTTGATTTCATAAAATTTGTCTTTTTCTTCCCTCTAAAGTTTGTATTTTTAGTTTTTTTTTATTATTAATAATTTATAACTACTTGTTTATTCATTAAAAATGTTAGCGGTCATCTCAAGTATTATGTACAACTGTTATAGATAATATATTAATGTGTAATATCTTTTAAAAAAATTATATATTCTTAAAATAAATATTTTTTATATATCTTAAAATTATTATTAGAGACAAAAATAATGATTTTAGATTTTAAAAGATAAAAATAAAAAAATATTTTTATAAAGATTGAAGTCAAAATTTACTTATTTTATAGATAAAAAATATTTTATAAAAATAAAAAATAATATTTACAAATTTTAGAAGGATGAAAACTAATAAAAAAAAATTATATGAACTAAAATCAGAACTCACTCATTTTACATATACTTAAAATAAAACATATTTAAGAGAAATCAAAATTATTCTCAAAATAAAAAATATCATTCATAATGTTAACTAATGATTAAATGATAATTCATAATTTTTTTCTAAAATTGAATTTTTTGTTAAAGACCATTGTTGCAAAATTTAAAAGTAAATAATCAAAATAATTATTTAAAAAAATAAAATGAATCTTAAAAGATAAAATAAATGGCTAAAAATATAATTTAAAAATTATGTTTATATTTATTTTCGTATATGATAAGTATAAAACATTAAATTTAATAATTTAATAGGCAAAATTTTAATTTTTCAAGTCAATATTTTTTATTAAATAAATTTATTTTAATATATATTTTATTTAAATATAAGTAATATAATATTCTTTAGTTTATCTAAAATTTGGTAATATTAAAATATTTAACAACAAAATTATTATATTTAATATATAGTTAAAATTTCTTCTAAAATAATTTAATCTTAATGTATAGAAGTACCATGATTTAAGTTTAATTTTTATTATGATTATTTTTATAATATTATTATAAAAATAAAAAATAAAAGTGAAGTTATTATTCCCATCAAGGATGGAAATCAATCTACTTGCAGTAGGGTTGAAAAAAAAACATACATGGTCCATCGGTAACAATAAAAAAAATGCAAATATAAGCTTTTTTTGAATGGGTCTATACCGTATAGTGGCCGATTAGGCCGAATACCCGAACCCGTGAACGTTTAAATCGAATACCCGAACCCGTGAACGCTTAGACCGAATACTCGAGCCCACCGACCACTCTTAAAGTGAATAAAACGCGTTGGTGTGGTCGGCCAAGCTCAGCGCCTCCGCCAGGATGATTACGGAGAGCTTAATTAACATAATGCATCAGATTAGCTCCCTAATTTTCCGGGGCCCAATTCCTAATCGCGGCCCAATAAGAACCACTATAAATAGGACCCCAACGAGGTATGTAACTAACTTTTCAACTACCGCATTTAATACGCCGAGCACTTACTTGAGCGTTGGAGTGTCTTTGTAGGCACCCCCCCTCACTTCGGACTACTCGGAGAAGGACGAGAAGACCTAGACCCCGGACCCGACCCGCTACAACAAGGATAATTGGAGTGTGTATCCTAACACAGGAACATTTGGCGCCCACCGTGGGGCTAAAGAGACATTTTCAGCCCCTTTAAACTCTACGACTGAGACCAAGGCATGGTAGTAACGCGCAAAGGACAATCAACGACAACACAACCGATCCCTAACCCCGAGAACAATCCCGCCATGAACAACCAAGAACGTTATCCGTACGGAATGCCTCAGATGCAACCAGAACATGTGGTACAAGAGGTCCAACCGAATACTGACTGAGCTCAGCCCGACCTCCAAGAAGATTTGCGCGCATTGCGCGAGGAAATGGCGGCCATTCGAAGACAAAGAGGAGCCGATGCCCGAGAACTGGCCGAGTTGCGTCGGCAAAATGCCGAACTCCGGGGCCTGAACCAAACTTACGTGCCGTCAACTCCCACTCTCCAAGAGGAGTCGGCATACCACGCCCCAACTGACCAAGTGACCCGAACACTAATTACCTCTTTGATAGGTAACAAAGCCGACACCAACGTCCACTCCCTAAGACACCCCTTCTCACGAAGGATAATGGAAGCGACCCTGTTGGATCATTGGAAGAGTCTTCCAATCGAGAAGTACGACGGATCTACCGATCCCGATGAACACCTGAACGTCTACTTGACACAGGCAACACTCTCCACCCAAGACGACTCGGCTTTGTGCTGAATATTCCCCACGTCGCTGAAAGGAAGAGCCCTGAGTTGGTTCACGAGATTGCCAAGCTCTTCCATTGACTCGTTCAACGAGTTGTCATCTCAATTCACTCTTCAATTCGCGACGAGCAAGCCGTACAAGATGACCTCGTTAGCCTTAGCGGGGATCCGTCAAGAGAAGAAGGAAAGTCTGAGAAGTTTCATGGATCGATTCAACAAGATTACCATGGAGATCGGCGATCTGAACCCTGCCGTAGCGATGGACCGGCTGAGCACTGCCCTCAGGCCGGGTCCATTCGTGAATAGCTTATGCAAGAAGCCACCCATTGATATGAATGATCTCCGACGCCGAGCCGAGAAGTACATGCAAATGGAGGAACTCGCGGAGACCTGAAACCAGGCTAGGGTCGAGGAGGGTTACGGCCGAAAGGAATCCGACCGAGAGCCGATGAAAAAAACCCATGCTGAACAAGTTATTACTCGTCCCCCAAGAGGACCACGTTATACTGCCTACACTCCCCTGAATGCGAGTAGAGCCAAGGTGATGGAGCAGGCCCTTGCTTCGGAAATCCTCGTCATGCCGAAAAGGGCGAACACTCCCCCGAGAGCCGATAAAGCGAAAACATGCCGATTCCACCGAAACAGAGGACACTCGACTGAAGAATGCTCAGCGCTGAAAGACAAACTTGAAGACCTCATCAAGCAAGGTCACCTAAAAAACTTTGTCACCCTTCAAGACCAGTCAAGAGGAAGAGATCACTCTCGCGAGACTCACCATCCGAGAGACCGACGCCGTCGATCTCGATCAGCCGAGAGGCAGGATCGTTCGCGGCATTCTAGGGAGGATAACGAACGACCAAGGAAAGTAATCAAAACGATAGCCGGAGGCTTTGCCGGGGGAGGTTCCACTTCTTCGGCATGGAAAAGACACCTCCGGGCAGTGCGATCAGTCAATAGTGTGAACCAGCCGAGGATGCCGAGGATGCCACCAATAACCTTCTCTAATCGGGACTTCCGGGGCGTTGATCCTGTTCAGGACGACCCCATGGTGATTTCGGTCGAGATGCACAACTGCATTGTGAAGAAAACCTTGGTTGACCAGGGAAGCTCAGCCGACATCTTGTACTGGAATACTTTTGTGCAGTTGGGGATCCCGGAGGAGAGCCTAGAACCATACCACGAACCACTTGTAGGCTTCTCAGGCGAAAGAGTGATGACGAGAGGATGCATTGACCTATACACCCGGTTCGGCTTCGATCGACAGTCTTCCCGACAGATCAAAATCCGTTATATTATGGTGCACTGTTATAATCTTTTCTTTTGCCTAGGTTACCCATTTTTACTTGTGGGTTGCCTAGCAGATCTTGCCCTAACTTTTGCGCAGCCCCCTTAGTGGGTTTCTTGCCGAGCATTCATTTTTTGCAACGCTCGTGAGGTATGAGATGTCTTTATTTTATCAAACCCTAGTGATGTTTGAATTCACGTGATTACTTCTCTCCCTATAATGGGGGCACCTTGGGGGCCTTAAGACCAGTGAGATTAGAACTGTCCTATACAACACACTTCTCTTATAGGGACCACAGACCAAGGATTTGAATGTGATTGTCCGCGGCTGTACATTTGTTTGAGCATATGCGTGTTGCATTTGTTGTGTTCTCTTTTTATTCATTTCAAATAAAAAGTAATTATAGACAAACAAACAGATATCAATAAATAAAAAAACTAACACACTTCTGTACACCCTAGCTCTAAAGCATCATATAGGATAGTTTGTTTAAAAAAAAACAAAAAAAAAATATATAGCAAAAATCATGCATCATAACCTTTAGTCAATTTTTTTATATAAAATTTAGGCAGAAAACAAACATCATGCATCTCGTAGGATAGTACATTAGCATACATTCATTAGAAATGGGAGGCACATATAATGGTATGCAAAGATCTTCTCGAAACAAGAATCAATGAGAATGATATTTGTTGAATTTCTCAAGTGTCTTTGCATTCTATTTTACGTTTCATATAGATAACACGCCTTCCTTGTTAATAATAAATAAGAATAAAAAGGGAAATCTAATCTTTGCGTAATAATGGAAGTTATTGTAATCAAATGCAAACCCAACATATCAAATCGGGGAACACTTATTAGTAATTGGGGGTATCACATGCCCAAATCGAAGATTCAAACACTGAGACATTCCCATGCAAAAACGACAATTGCCGGGATAAGAGGAATGATCAAGAATGGAAGAATCCTTGTTTCTAGGGAATTACAAGACAAAACCCAATTGAATAATACAAGGCATTTCATGATGAGGACTCAGTAGGACGAAAACCTGCATGGGGCGTTCTAGGAAAAAAATAGGGCAAAGAAAAAAGAATCAAAATCCCGATAAGATACGTCCTATGCAAAAGTTAGGGATGTATAAAAATAAAAAATGTCTGTCTGAGTTGAAAACCAAAAGGCAGCTTGAGTATTCCCTTTAGAAAGTAAGAATTCATAAAGGTTTCACTCCAAATTCAAAACATCGGTGTTCAAGCAAGTGGGAATGTGTTCCTAA